GGAAGTCCCTCAGTGGCAGCCATGTTAAGTGCCGTTCCAATTCTCTAGATGATAGGAAAGGAGGTTTCAAACTTCCTTTATAACCTCCTTTAGCTTAGGAACCACTGGACCTCCCTTACCGAAAGGAGAGGAGAAAATGCTGCCCCACAATGCCTTGCAGCCGCAGCATTTGCCGTCACTCAACAGTCAACAAACGATTATGATGGAGAAATTATATCATGAAAGTTACAGTGCTAATTAAGCATTTTAAAACGTATGTGGTAAGTTGCCAAAGTGCTTTGTTCTGAACGTTCATCAGTATTATAATCAAAGAGAGAAATATGAACGTTAGTTTTTACTGAAATGATCAAATAAAGTCAACATTTCACAGTCTTTACTGAGCTGTGTGGGGTTTGTTCAACTTTTAAAAGATGTTTGAATGGTGATATACACAGTGATAGATGTTAAGGACTAACGTTTATAATAAATACATCTGTATTGATTTTAAGATCTTTTCATCAATCATACGTATTGGATCATTTGTATTAATGTGGACCGGAGGGAGAGGGTGACGAGCATAAGTTTCACTTTCCTTTTTTATTTCAATTCCAACTTTGGTCATGAAGAATATTTTTCTCTGTTGTCCACGTTCATAAAGCATAAAGCAACAGCATCAGAGCACGGTGCAGAGTCTCTAGATGAGTTTACAGTAGTCCCTCGTTCTTATTGAACATCCATGTTGTAGTCCGCTGTATAGAAAACTGTAGTTTCCATAGTTACCCCACAGCAGCAGACGCACATTCATGACGTCCGCTGGCGCATCATAAACACGTCGGATAGTGAAAGTGCATTCGGATTCTCTAAAGTACCGCAGTCTCTTCTCCTAAGTCCTTTTGAATTCTCCTATCCACTATCCCTTAACCCCGTGACCTTTCACTCAGAGGTCAAGGAATAGACGATAGGGTTAGAATGTAGGAGCTGATTTTTGGATTATCGGAACGCAACCTGGGGGTTAGGGAGGAGAAATCGGCGGAGCTCTATGGGCATAGATATGTCTCATAATTATTTGTGTGAACATAAAAATAATTTGTGTGTAAATATGTGATTTGTAAATGTAAAACACCATCCACAAATGCATTTAAAAGATTTGCAATCTCACAAATAAATGTGCAAGTGTAAAACGGATCTGCAAATACGCTAAATATTTTCACAAATAAAAAAAAGATCTGTGAATATCTCTTTAACATTGACAACTTTCGATCAGGCATTTGTGAATCCATTTTGTATTTGCCGACCAAAAATGCGCTTGCGGATCTCAAATCTCTGCTCGTGGATCTCACATTTCTGCTTGTGGATCGTCTTTTTACACACACGGAATTCTGAGACATATTTTCTTGCCGGTCTCTTCTAAAATCTACTCGTGTCACTCGGTTATTTTCGGAAACCACGTGATGGCCCGCTGATGACGACATTTCCGCATGATTTAAAGTAAGAGCATGATGGTTTGTTTAATGCTGTTTTTTTATTATAATGAACAGCGGAACGTTAGATGCATTATTTATCACCATCATCATCATCATCATCATCATCATCATCATGTTATAGTGATACAGTTAGTTTGTGTTAGTTTATTGGATCAATATAGCATATATCGAGCAGCTATTCTTTCACACACAGTGACGTCACAGCTACCCACAATGCAACGCGCGCCATATATTTTTTTATAAAGACGCCATTTTTCTGGAGGTGCAAAAATCCTGGGAATGCTAATATAAACAGCTAGCTTATGTAGCCAGGCAGAGCGCACTAGGTATTTTTTCTGAATTAACGACCGAAGAAATCGCTGCATGTCTTCGGATGACATCTCTGGACTTGAGGGGTGTGCTCTAGGTCGTTACCAGCGTAAACTAGAGCTGTGTGGGTTGTTGGATGTACAATGTATGGAATTACGACCCTCAAAAGTGGCCTTCGGTCGATTTTGGCTGCATCTACGTCTATCTTCTGGAAACACCAGGTGAATACCCCACTTGTCACAATAATATTATCATGCCAACGCATATATGTGGTATTTTAGAGTTGACTATATTGATTAAGGCAATCGACTATGATATTCTGTATGCACCTCGTGTGAAATGGTTGATACCGGAAGTACGGTGTCGCCCTCGGCCCAAAACCCGTATGTGTGTGTGCTAAATACATATTTACTGTGAATGTATGCAAAAATGTATGGCATATAGCTGTCTAACAGAAGTTACATTCATTTCTCACTTATTCTGACAATGTACTTAACCCCAAATAAAAGAACCCAATAAAAAGAGTTGTTAAATAATAGTGAAGTCACGTCTCTCTCGAGTTTTCCTTTTGAGCTTTGCCAAAAGCCACTGTGTCAATGTTGTTCTACTTGGGTTGCCGTCCGGCGTTGTCCAATATGGCGGACCATCTCGCACATGCGCACTGCAGATTGGGCATTGAGCACTTTTGAATATTTCGAATATAAGCTAAACGTTAGCATATATGCTAACTTTACATTGAAAAGGGCTTAGACAAGCTAACCGTTAGCATAAATGCTAACTTAACATTGAAAACGCCATAGACAACCTAACAGTTAGCAAAATGCTAAAATATTATGTTCTAAGAGTACTCAGATCTTGTGCTTGAGTAAAAGTACTCAGATATTGTACTTGTCACCTTTTTCATACCTGATGAGTTTGCATCCCTTTATATATATATATATAAAATAATACAAATCTAAATATTCTTAATAAATAGCCTTGTCTTAATGACATGGTCAGATTGGGTCACCTTGATTTAGATATTGGGACATTCCTGGTGGGCGGAGAGAGGAATTCTCATTGTGATAGCATGACCACCTTTACAGGATATGCTGACTATTTAAAACAGGCGCTCCATATGAGGAGAGAATGGAGAGAACCATGTTGATCTAATTTTGCACTTCACTGGCAGCTAATGAAAAGGTAAGTTATGACTATACATATTTTTTACTTTTAAATGCACATATTTACTGAACATTAACCAGGTAGCTTACATTCAGACTATGAAACTGTGTTTACATGCTTTAAAATGTAGCAATCAACATGAAGTAACTCAGTAAAAGGGGGGGGGGGTTGGTGCAGCAGGGGTAATCATTTACAAGTGGGAGGCAGACCAATCATCCTTTAGGGGGGTCCGGGGGCATGCTCCCCCGGGAAGATTTTTTTTTTAAAATATTGAAGTTAAAAGCATCAATCTGGTGCACTTTGAGAGCAAAATTAAACCTACCTTAATAATACCTTAAAGCGGACAAAAGGCACTGGAGAAAACTTATTCATTAACACCCTTTAATGAAGCAAACTAATGCCTTAACTCACTCAAATAGAGTCAGCAGCTGGTTGAAGTCACTTCAGATCACTGATCCAAGGAACATCCATTGAAAGAAGAACATATAAAACAAAATTAAGATTAACCATATAATTAATATGTAATACAATAAAATAAAATGCATCCTATTCTCTTACAGTACATGTGATCCTGACTGGCACCTCATAAACTTCAGATGTAAATAAGAAACATGAAATGTATCTTATTCTCTTGCATGTGATCCTGGCTGGCACCTCTGCTGTCTTTTACAGCTCTGTTCTTCACTCCCTTCTTCTAATCCTGTTTTCTTCTTTTAGTGTCTTAAAAGTAGACTGAGGTATGAAGGGTTAACGTTACATTTTAGGATCATTTTTAGTCATGTTCTGTATACATACTAACATATAAGGGTATACTTAGTGTGGTTACTCCATGTTTACTAGCTATAACATTAACGTTACATCACTCTTTTTCACTTCTTACTCAGTCAGCCAGAGTGCAGATATCACCATTAGATTCACAAACCTGAAACATCATCCATTTCTTCACTGCTGGTGATGACATTGTTGTCAGCTGCTGATACTGCTGCTGCTGCAGCTTGTGGCTTCTGCTTCGATGAAAGGACCTTTCTAATATCCATAACTTTATAGGCTATTAGCTTAAAACTCGTCAGGCACTAGGAAGGATCACTTCTTCAGGGCAGTGAAGGCTACGCAGTACACAGGCTCCCGCAGCGGCTGCCTCTCTGATGGACTCCGGTACTGTACATTACTCACGAGACGTTTTCAACAAAAAAAATGTTTTAAGTGAAACATCCGGGGCTTTTCAGAAAACATCCGGGGCTTGAGCCCAAGTAGCCACCCCCTAGCACCGCCACTGGTATCTACAAGTATCTGTATCTATAGCTAGTGTGCTACACTAGCTATAAGTCTATGCTAGTTAGCTAACGTAGCTAATTTGCTAACATCATCAGCAGCACCTAGCGTTGAAACACCTGCTTAGTCTGCTTCAATCTATCAGCTGTGTGACAAATGTGACTGGAAGATTTCTTTTTTTTCTCTAAACTTTGTTTAAAATGTATCATGTATCCAAAAATAGCATGTAGGAAAGATTGTGCATGAAGTTAGAAGTGAAAGTTATTTTTAGACCAGAGAGCATTTAAAGGTGGGGTAGGTGATTTTGGAGAAACCAGCTGGAGTGCGCTAGAATTTGAAAATACACAACCGGAGAAAATCTGCCACTTCCTTACAGAGCCCCTCCTCCAACACACACGAACGCGCACATGACCAATGAGAGCACGAGATAAGTTTGTGCACAGATGGAAGGCTGACAGGCAGGTAGGCCATCCAGTTACTTTAGCCGGGCCGGCTCAGATGATTGGTCGTGCTTTTTACAGAACTACGGCTTCCACTTTTTATGGATTTTTTGTCAAAGCATTAATATATTCATTGCTATCGGGATGTTAAGAGCATTCCATGGAATATAACAAAAAGTGTTTCTGAAATAAATTACATACCCCACCTTTAATGACACAGGGACTTTCAATTACTAGTCAATAGTGAGTTAATCAATCAAATAATAATGGTTTTTCCTTTAAATGTTTGAACTTATATTAAAAAAAAACTACTCCTACTGCAACACTGTGATTTCCCTGTTTGGATAAATCTTTCTATCCATCTATCTTATTGACATCTAAGTAGTGTTTACATTTGTTATCACACTGGAACCTTAAGTAAGGTAGAGCGTGTTGCTAAATGTATTTACAATATGTTACTGTTAAGTTTTTTCCGGGGCAGTGTTCAGCCACGCTGTCCTCTTTTCCCTGTTTAGTTTCAGTGACATGGATGGGTTTCTATTTCATTTTACTAAGGCTTAAAACTGAGCTAGAACCTATTAAGGCTCAAGTGTACTAAAGTGAAACCAGCAGCATCACCCTGCCCACAGTGTCCTAGATGTAGTTGTCTAATACATGAATTATGGTGGTGTCTGGTCACATTAACGCTTCATTGTTTTTTATTATAGGATGAAAAATGGCAGGACTGAGACGCAGGAAACCCCCCCTCACGGATGCGATCGAACATGCGATCGAGACAGTTGACAATACTGCAAAATTGGAAGTGATGTACATCAACTCTTTTAAAGGTATGTATTTTTGTCATCAGTACAATTTGTGTTTTTATGTTCAAAGTTGATCAGATCCACAGTACACCCTTACTAGTACTTAGAGTTCATTGATTAAAGTAATGTTGCATCAATTGTATCCTCATACTATTGATACGATATACGATACGATATTACTTTATTTGTCATATCAAGTCTGAAATGTGACTTGCGTCACAGCAGCTCCATGTCCAACACCAACATAGACACATATCCAGACACAAATACATGAAACACAAACAACAAACATTCAACATAACAGCACAATCAGTGAGAGAAAACATGCTCAAAGATACATTTTGTATTGAAGGGCCTGATGGGAAACTGATTTGTTTGCCTGGTCTAGTGTGCCAGGATAATGTAATAAACCAAACCAGAAACCAATAACTATTATTATCATATAGTTTTGGTGAATTTTAATACAAAAAAACATGGCAAGAAGATGAATCACTGTACATTTAATCATTTAAATAATAACCTGTAATGTGGTTAGGTCAAGGGGTCTTTGCCACTGCTCATTTACAAAAAGGAGACTTTGTGGTGGAGTACAGAGGGAATGAATACATTCTGAAGAATCACAAAGGAGGAGGAGGATATATATCATGTCAGCTGTGCTGTCTTTATGTTTGACTTCTACTGGCAAGAATGAACATGGTGGTAAGTCCTAAATACAATTATACATATTTGAAATTGAGTTGTAAGTTGTTGTTTTATGAACGTAAAACGTGGTTTATTTTTATTTATTAAGTGTTGATGCAGCACAAGAAGATTCCAGTCTAGGAAGATTAGTCAATGATGACCACAAACATCAACACAGCAAAATGAAGAAGGTCGTGGCAGAGAACACATTTTTAATAGATTTGACAACGATTTATTTGCTTATGGGTGTGTTAGTAAATATTAGATTAGGAGTTATTCTCTTTCCTCACATTTAGACTAACACAGTTGTTTCTACCTCTGATAACTTTTGAATCAGGTAAATGCACCGTCTTCTCATTAATAATGTTGAATTATTCTTCAGGTTGGAGAGCAAGCTACTGCCACCGAGTCTTCTGAGGCTGAGATCCCCAGTACGAGTGAGCCAGCTCCTCAGAGATCTTCAATCTCCAACACACAGGTACGTCTTCAATGGATTTGTCCCTTGACTTCATTTCCCTAATAGTTCAGTATATATCCATTTCCTGCTTTATTGATATTTGGTATTGGCATTTGATGGTTCAATTGGCTTTTCTGTAGATCAGTGTATCTCTGAATGTGTGTCAAACGCAGTCAGATTTTTCTGATTAAATGGGGGTCCATTCAGGGGCCTTTAGCAGAATACTCTCACACCACACATGTCAGTGGTGCTGTTGTTGTGGGGTCCACGTTACTTGAGCCACATTAAACTGCACTTCTTTCTGTTTTTCTGACCATAAACTGAAGGAAACATCATGTTTGACATGTGTGCTCTAACGTTAGCTCAGTTTGCTTTGTACCAGTCATACCAACTGTTGGTGAGAGGTCAATTCATGCTGCCAGACTTCATTAAATGGGGTCCAGTCAGGGGGCGTTAAGCAGAGTAGTCTCACACACACATGTCAGAGATGCTGTTGTTTTTGGGGTCCATGGTAACTGGATGATAAAGTACACATTTAAAAGAAAGATAATTTCCTATTCATTTTTAATTCTTGTTTTAAATCCTAATGAATAATTGAAACGTTTTCATACGTTTTAAATCATCAAGACATTTAAAATGTTTAAAAAAAAAAATGATATCCCATTCAAGTTTGTGGGATATGATGCTGATCTTTTGTACTGTACCATTTTGTATCAGCTTATGGCAAGTCAGATTGTCGTAATTACCATCATTTCAATTAGATTTGTATCATGAGCTACTTCATAGAAATAATAATATAATTGCATCATAAATACTAAATTGTAAGACTTAAATTACTGATGTGACATTTCATTTCAATTTCATGGTTTATTTGGCAGGGACAATGCACATGAACACTTAAAACATTAAAAATGTGTCAAGCGTAACAGTGCAAGATGTAGCTTTGTGCTCATTTCCACCCGCAGATCCCTCACATAAAACATTTAAGAAATTACATTTGACCAAACATAGCAAAACAAAATACATGATATGCAAAAGTGCAAAAGAGCCAAGAGCAGCACACAAGTATTTACAACATGGAGGTACAATATAGCAGCTACAACATATAAAGTGCAAGAGAAGACAAAAGAGCTACCTAAAGTGCAGGAGGAGATACCCCTGTGTTTAAAGTGCATTTAGCGGTGATTGCACGTCTGTTTGTTTCTCATCTATTCTTTGAGTTGACCTTTAAAGCTATTGAGAGTGGGACAATCCCGTATCTCAGTTGGGAGGCTGTTCCACAAAGAGCTGCCTTTAATTAGAGGACATGGCGTCCAAAAGTGGTCCGTCTGCGGTGGACTTCACAGTCTCCCTCTGGGTTTATGACCTAGTGCAGCGTTCCAGTGTGTTTTCTGTGGATGAATTCCCCTAAGGGGGGGGGGGGGGGGGGGGGGGGGGGGGGGGGGGGGGGGGGGGGCCTGTCCATGTAAACATTTAATAAAAAAACACACATACTTTTAAAAGACTTAAAATGGTCAAAACTGTGTTTTATCAAGGATGGTACAGTGGTGGTATGAATGTGGCTTTCTGTCCAACACCTTGATAGCTCTCTTGTACAGCTGTTCTATTGGGTTTCAGGTTTGTGGCTCAAGCAAACGACCAGTTTGTCAAACAGTATTCAATGTGGGATAGAATCATACAGTGGAGGTATGACTTTGCAGCATTGACAGTTAACCTGTTAAGGCCCGAGCCTGTTTTCCAGGTCTCAGGATCGAAAATGACATTCCCAGAACAAATGACCATATCTTCACTTCTAAAAGGGGAAAATTAATAATCTTTTTTCTCAAAGCAATGATAAACCTGTGAGTTGGATGTAGAAGAGTCAGAATCAATATAGATTTTTTTAATTTGAAAGTAAATTCAGATTGAACATAGTAAAAAAAAACATTACTTACTGTATAGTGAAAACCACCCTTGAATGATGGGATGGTAGACTAAAAGCTTTAGGAATCCAAACTATGACATATAATAAGTACCCTGTATCAAGATTGATGCAAAAACAAGTGACATTTGACCTTTTTAGAGAGATTTAGCAAAAAAAAACCACTTCTGGGGTCATTTGGGTGGATTTGACCTATCTCTGGCCCCCTTTGATCGATTTTGATGATTGACATCTCTTTCTAACCGTTTAGAGCCAATAGAATCGAGGGGAAGTTCCACATACACACACATGTTACAAAATAAGGAGTAAGAGTGACGCGTAGCCAGAATACCCCAAAAACAGGAAGCTGTCATTAGCAGCTAATATGAAAACTATGAATTATGGATTATCAGTAATTTTTTGTGACACAGACACATTGGATTAACCTATGGACTAACCTTCAGCCACGTTTTATATCATTTTTAATGCCATTGAACTTGTGTTATTATTTATCAACTTTTTATCTCAAATAACTTTTCCATAGCAGTTCCAGAAAAACACAAAAATAATTAATTTGTTTCATTTTTATACAGGTCGGCAGCCTTTCAAGAAAAGCTGTGGGAAAAGATGGAGATCCAAGCTGTTGAGAAGCACATGATGACCTTCATTAACACATGTCGCTTTCTGCGGAAAAGCGACTGCGATAAGTGTCTTGAAATGGAAGGAGAAGCACTCAAACAAAGACATTGGTTGGCCATAAAGTTTTACATAAATAATCGGATCACAGCTCTCAAGAGCAAAATGTAAAGTGATCATTACTGTCTGTTGACACCATTAGTTGTTGTCAAGTGTAGTGCTTGCAAAAGTTAAATGTTTGTTGCAAGCCACTATACAAATATATAGATCGTACTTTATTTCTTATTTCACCCCTCATTGATGTCCTCTTCTTAATACCTCACCTCATCTCCTTTTCTTTTATCTGAATTATTCACAATTTCCTCCTGCCTTATCTCTTCAACTTATCTTCTCTTGCCTCTATGCTTTTTAAATCTCATCTCTTTTTTGTAATCTTCCTTTTATCTCAACTACCTTATAATCTCTTCTAGTTTCTCATATTATCTTGTTTTTCTCCTGACACAATTTATTTAATCTTGTCCCTTTTCACACTTTCAATTTCCTTATTTCTTTCAATGTCTCAAAATACCACATCTGGTGTCCTCGTCTTTATCTACCATTTATTGTGTCATTACCTTGGATCCCATATCATTACTTAAAGAGCCTGTGACAGCCTCCCAACAACTGTTGTGCAATGAAAATATTGGGCTACTAGTCATCTCGAGAACCGTCAGTTTAAAAAGAAGGTGCGATACCGTTCCGTTAAATATCAATAATTTCGAACATTGCGGGGAAATTCCTTCGACTCATTTGAAGTTTTGGGGGAGGAAGCCGGAAGTGACGTCAATGCGGGACGCTTCACTGTGCGGCGACGAGAGCCAAACACGGACAAAGTGTGTTGTCATGGGTATAAATGGTGAATTACTGAGTTTAGGCACGTTAATAACGTTTTAATGAAGTTGACTACAGTATATTCATATTTGTCAGTGCTTTCATGTCAATTCGGCGAACATAAAACATAAATGATCGTGGTGAAGATGATGATACATTAGGATTACAAATCGGTAGTGAGAGCTGCTGAATTTCCTTCCCGTCGGATGTGATGTAAAAACAAATCGATTATTTTTGTAGTTGTAAACTCAAGTGGATATAAACTACATTTATTAGTGCTTTCATGTCAATTCGGCGAACATATGATACATTAAATGATCGTGAGGATGAGGATTACAAATCGTTTGTTTTGAGCCGGTCTGCATTTCCTGATGAGAAAACCAAACGATGCTTTTTGTAGTGTGTAGTACACCAACATGGATTAAACGTGTGTTTTTTTTTACCACAATGTTGGGGAAATGAATGGATAAATGCACGGATTATGATTATTATTATTATTCCCACTCCGATCGGGACACTAGGTCCACCGTTTCCCCGCAGCGAGGCTCCCCCCGTTGACAGTTTACGTGGGCTGGGCTGGGCGCAGTGTCGGACTGGCCATCGGGACGAATCCCGATGGGCCGGTACCGAAGTGGGCCGGTCGGATAAGTCACTAGCACATCCCCCCACTCCCCCCCGTTGATAATTTACTAGCGGGTACCGAAGTGGGCCGGTCGAGAGTCCCGGGATGATTTTTAGTCCCAGTCCACCACTGGCTACATGACCGTATGATCGCCCATATTGACGCACCTAATTCCTAAACTTCTAACAGATACAACATAAAGCGATCCTTCAGCCTCATATGAGCTCTCAGACACGTTCAAAATTAAACTGTCATCGCTGTCATCGCTTGCTGCTGTGTGCGCCATCGTGTTTACATGCAGATGCTGGGATCCTGAACGGTGCAGCTGGAGCGCTGTGCCCGCAATGACGTCACACATCATTTGGCGGGACTTGAAGAATCCCCGAGAAGATCCAGAAAATGGTCAACATTGAAGGGCAGATTAATGGTTATCAAAGTACAAATATCCCAAATCAGTTCAGTAACGGTTTTCAAGGGGACAATATTTACTCAAATTGATGGGTTTGGATGATGGGGGAAACCCGTGTCACAGGCTCTTTAAAGTAATCTCCCTTCATGTCTAACATAAAAGTTTTGAAGGTTAAATTCTTCCAGTGACCTTAGACCCTCATTTAAATCAGCCACAAGTTGTTTGTTAAGTCCTTTTTGGGACCTCTGTCATATAATAATGCCGTTCTTAAATGGTGATACCTTTTTGTGTACACTGAATACAGTTCTTCTTTTGAAAATTAAAAGTCTAATAACGACAATCTCCATGTATTACTGGAAAGCTCTATAATAACATTGTATTGCTTTAAATGGAAATTACAATTACTATTTAAGTAGAATAGCCTTATAAGCATCACTTATATGGCTTCAATAATTAACACTTAGAACACAAACCCCTCTTTATTTAAAAAGAAGGAAACTGATACAATTTCAGTAAATGTACTGTGAGTCTCATTCACGAGTCCAGACATCCCTGACGAAGGAACCCAATGTCTGAACGAGGGATA